GGTCTCAAACTGCTCTTTTCCTATAGGTCCCATTTTCACACGATGCGATGGTCCCGACTGTCCCGCTACTGTTCCATAAAATGATTTAAAAGACGGCAGTAGCAAAAAGTAACTTTTTTGACACGGCAAGACGCAGACGTTAAAAAAATCATGATGGCAAGCTATTGGCTTGCATGATGCAGTGACATCCGGTTGTAAGATTGGTGCTAACTTGTACATTAACCACATGGGTATTAATCCACTTAAGAGGAAACCACGTTGGCCCCGGTGAAATAAAGTGTCGTCCAAGTCCTGGCAGACTGAGGAACACCAATGACAAAGTTGATCGGGTGTAAATTCGTCTGGCAAGAAACGCCTGTGGTGCAAACTCCAAGAACTGCAACTTGAGAATATGGCATAGGGTTCATTAGTCTCATGAAAGTTGCCCTCTTCTGTACGTTGCCCACGGCCGTTGTCACGTATAGAGACGTCGTATCATCAGGAGATGATCAATGCTGCTGAACCTATCAGTGACGGTGTGGGGTTGCGTTTCGTATGGCTGCAGGTTGGATCTCATAACAAAACCTGGGAAACATAAGTTCAACGTTTTCGACAGGAAGTACTGGATACGACCATGGGGCCAAATTTTGTTAACTTTGCTAATCGTCAGATATTCATGGATGACAACGCAAATCCGTCTCGTGCCGTCATCACCCTTTCAGAGCAATTCCATCGAAAAATTACCATGGCCCGCATAAACCTCAATGAACATCTTTCAGAAAATGTTAGACGACCGTACCCTGTTCAAAGTGAAGAATTGAGGCATACACTGTATCGGGAATGACAGAGGAATGAATCGGATGCTAATAATACGATGCCTGATTGGCAATATGTGGAGATGTTATAAGTTCGAGGGATGGCTACACATGAAACTGGTGTGGTCGCCTGTGGTGGGTCATACAATCACAACAACCATTGTATAAAATACAGATTTGTGGGGTGGTCATGGTGACCATACGTTCCAGCATTGTTGATGTTCACGTTGTTTGTGTACTCTTCTCAGATTGCAGTCATAAGATACCGTGTTACCATGTTTCAATTGCAGTTTTGTTTTTGTTGAAATCAGAGTAAAATGTGTTACAGTTGCCATTTTGATCAGTGTAATTTTGGTTTTCAAAGCATATGCACCAATATGTGTTTTCATACTGATCTTAAATAATAATAGAATCACCAACATTGATGTCTTAATAACAATCAAACAATCACATGCACAGACATTTAGTAATTCGGCTTTAAAATCGTAACGATTACGAATCATTCGTATAGTTGGCACCTGTGTGAACAGTTGGTGTTTGTCAATGATAAAACGTTCTGGCAATATAACAGTGTGAATATGTACAAATTGTGTCCTTGTTTATTTTGGGTTTTTAAATCGTACTCAGTAATACGCTAGATATAAGTCGGTTGTCCGTAAATAATCGTGTATGGACAGACAATCCAGTGATTAACACCCTGAGCATCGATCCACGAAAACGGAACACGACCACATATAATCTTGATATGTTCGATCTTCGAGCACATTTGGCTGAGATGCCCATATGACATACGTATATACGCCAGTAATAATAGATACAGTCGAGCACCGTTGTCTCGATATTTATGGGACCAAGAAAAAATATCGTGTTATCCGAACTTCGAGACATCCGACCAGGGCATAGTACCATCTGAGTTATCCAGATTGTCAACACAGTAGTTTTCTACTGTTTTCTACTGTTTATTACTCATCTTTCATAAATCAGACTTTCAATTTAAACTATTGGTGGGCATCTCAAACTTAAATTTACAAATTGTGCATTTAAGGCTTGTTGTTATCTACGGATACAATCTTCGACATAATATCTGTGGTTTAGCCAGTTTGCATTTGATTCCGGCAGCCATAGTAAATCCAAAATGGCTACGGATGTCTTCCCTCTAGATCTGTGTACTAAACAATCTCGTAACATGCAACTGTGAATAGGAATATCAGAAATGTAAATCTGGACCCCTACCCCAATATAATGGCTGTAGCGCACACATTTAATCCAAGTTAGTGCCCATTATATTTTGTCAATCGCTTTGGGATAGGCATAGTATAAACAGCAATCAACAAAGGTGAGAACCTTGTCGTAACCCCGTGCTGTTCACCTCAATACAACCACTTCTTTACGAGAGGTTTGAACGCTACCTCTGATCCCTTTGAAGTGTAAACAAATTACCGAAGTGAATTTCACACGAAGCTTCTAATGCAAAATCTTTAGAAGACGAGACCCAACAACCTGAAAACCGGAGACGAAAGACCTTGACAACTGTTTGTATCACAGACGTTGTGCGTAGAAGGACCCGCAGTACAATGGCGGTAGTGTCGACTGTGTATGATCTCCTGATTGTGTCAAGTCTCCACGCACCTGACAGTGTTTCAGCCAGCGACCCGGGTCAGCCAGGGCCTGTCTATTGTGCATGGCCGTCTAAGTATAAAAGCTGTCTTGATGATACGAGAGCGTGATTCATTCGCAGCACTATATTACTAGCAGTGCAATTAATGTTTATATTTGTTCGAAGTTTGCACGTGTACACTATGCTGTTTCTATATGAGATACCTACTATGTATTCTGTACTGAGAAATCAAACAACGGAAGAGATATACTACCCACGAGTTCCTTTTTAACCTTGTATGTAATTAGGAATTTTCAGGAATCAACTTGTAGAACATGTCCAGCATATATTCCAACTTTGTAATGATCCGCACAAACACGGGCTTACCTGTTGTTGGACAAATACACTTAAAGTGAAACGACCTACATGTGGCTTGGTGGATAGATGGCTATAACAATTCGTGGTTGAAGGTGGCTTAAATTGGAACAAACAAGAAAGCCTATTCTACGATGACGAACCCGTAATACTGTTGGTCTGTTTCAAATTTCGCCCTTGCCATGTTTCGGCAACTTTTATGTAGTCTGGTAAGGTCAGATAACGTTTCAAAAGTCAAATTATCGGGTTAAGAGCATACTTTTTTTGCCTGGTGACTTAGTTACATTTGATCATTACACATATGTAATACTTTTTAATTCTGGTTACACGACAAAAAAAACTCTTTGAATCTAGTTAACCGGACGCATCACCTAGACAATAAATACTGGAATCTACGGTTTTCCCTTAAAGAAGTTGGAGTGAGTGAGTTTAGTTTTACGCCGCACTCAGCAATATTCCAGCTATAGATAATCGAATCTGGACCAGACAATCCAGTGATCAACAGCATGAGCATCGACCTGCGCAATTGGAATACGATGACATGTGTCAACCAAGTCAGCGAGCCTGACCACCCGATCCCGTTAGTCGCCTCTTACGACAAGCATGGGTTACTGAAGATCAATATTCTAACCCGGACCTTCACGGGTTAAAGAATTTAGAGAGGGCTAGAAATACCATGAACATTAATTTCATTATTATAATTTATTCTGGCCGGCCCATGGGCGAGGTAGTTTAAAGTTTAAGTTTTCGAAAAAAAAAATGTTTTCCATTCTTAGCATATGTTCATGATAACCGTATGTTGAATTTTGTCAAATCCTTTATCAGAAACTGGCTACAGTGCGGTGAGTTCCTGGACTTTGGGGTTTCCAGAATTAAATTGTGACGTTTTATACTTACACTGCTACATTCTTACGCTGTAATCATGTAAATGAAGAAGCAAGAAGAAGCCCCTGAAACCTGTACGTAAAAAATGTTGTTATTCAACATCCCTCAAGATTAACAACAGAGCAGTATCTGGTACGTTCACACCCTGTACGACTGCAGTCTCAGCACAGTCTTGTGACAGCTTCACGAACAAAGTGCCTTCGATTGATTTGACATTAAGCTGCCATACGCCAACATGGCTCACCTTATCCAATAATTCACTCTCGCCATATCTCATCACAAACACAGGTGGCGAGACCACAGCCATATAAATGCATCTTCCTTGCATGAGGGACTAACCGTTGTTCCATTTACATGCCTTTATACAGCTGTTATTACAGCTCTTTAAACTGTTCTTCAAAGTGCCCATTGCCATGTGCGTAGTCAGACGTCCTGTCAAGCAGCTTTGTGATGCCAATGCAATATATTTCATTATATCTAAGTCAATAAGAAATCTGAGCTGTCAATATTAATTTCTTTGCACCCATTAAGTAGCATACACCAATCATTTAAGAAGTAAACTAAACAGAAGGGCAAAAGAAAGCATACAAGCAAGTTTGATGGTGGCGGAAATGACACAAGCAGGAATGGTCCTTCGATGGAGATGTAATTGAAACGAATCAACGCTAGGTTATGATGTTACGTTTGTTCAGTGTCCGCCCCTGTGTTCACCCTAGTAACGGGTTGACAACACTCTGATGATGTTTTGGTCAACTCCAGTGTTAAGGTGTATACTTTATGTTGCCCGACAGGTAAGCTAGTGATATTTGGAGGTGTCGAAAAGCAACATTCTTACTACCACGTGTGAAAACACAAAGGTATTTGTGAAAGGTATTTTCCTGTCTTTTTCTCGCATCCTCTTAAATTGAAAGTTTACTTAATAATTAGACTGACTTAAACAGAGGACGGTGATGACTTCCACATGAATGATCTTGGCTGGAAATGCCTTAAAATTTTAAAGCAATAACAGTCTGAGTCCAGGAGCTTCCCCACCGGTAATCGTATATCAAAGAATGTTCACCTGACGTTTTGTCTACAGAATAAGCGTTACAAATAAGACTAACAGCCCAAAGTACAGATTAGCTATCAGAGTCAAGGTTACACACTATTCAACTGAAACGTAAACCAGTGTAAATGACACTTGCATGCGTGTGATTAATTTTAGTAACTTATACCCTCGAGACGCTTTGTTCCACAGATCAGGTCTGAATAGCATTGTTCCAATGTGGTGAAGCTCTATAACCTCTACCATGGTTGTCTTGTTTCCAACCATAGAGGATTGGACAACACAAATAACGCTACATGTTAAATGACAGGTCATTAATTTAATGCTATTTCTCCGTGTGCCTGTCAAGAAACAAGCTGCTAACACCACAGGTTGGACATGAAACAATACATCTAAATAACTACATGGGTCATATGTGAAGTAATTACAGACAATTATCAACAAAAAACGTCACTCACTATGTATTCTATATTAGCAGTTAAATAGTATACAAGTACATTGTCCCAGGTTTCAGTGTTACCCTATGTAATACTGTTTGTCGGGAACGTTTATGACTGAAATAAATAAATATAACAATACGTATTTTAGTAATGCCAATAATGTGATTACAGTGGACCTCAAAGTACCAACGGTCACTGTAGAAAGTATACATCACCAACTGCAATAGAACATATGTCCGCTATCCCTGTGACCATGACGTATGGTCATCATTCGTCATCACATCGAACGGTCTAAAGTAATAGAAGTACTAAAGATTTGACACATTCCTTGAGTCCATTCAGACAGGTGCATAGCACTTAACACATTGATGTCGTCCAGAAAACTGGCCATGATGAATCGTGATGAGTCGAGATAATCCAGGAGAGTTTCGGTGAAAAAGATGATGATGATATATCCATTTTTTCTATTTTCTTTTCCCAAAGATTTCTTCCACGGATAGTTCCCTCTCTCGTTCTGTTGCCTCCTTGGATCGGATGTACCTTGCCTTCTTAGCTTCTTCCCATGTCTTATCAGAGGAGGGCATGGCGTGTATTCTCCTCAGAGAACCATCAGGGTTGTAATGTTCGGGATCCAAGTCCATCGGCTTCTTATGGGCATCCACTGCAGGCCCCCTGGGTCGGGAAGCCCTCCGTGCCACATCCTTGGCTTTCTGGTCCTCTTCCTGTATCTGGACTTTATCCGGCTCATCTGTCTTGACGTCTCGTGACGTCTTATTTGACGTAACTTCTCTCCGTTGCGGATCTTCCGACAGGCGCCTAGAAACGTTAGATTTCACTGACTTCATATCCACAGAAGCAAGCTGAGTAAGATCAAGAGATGCCCTGTGAGATCGACGCCTGCTTCTTATATCTGGTTCAAGAAGGACGCTTTGTAAATCACCTTCGCTGCCACTAATATTCCTCTCTATTGATTTCTCCCTTGGGTCTAAATCATCCAAACTTTCCTGTTCAGCTTGGCAGGGGGGGTCCGTCGTGTTGTGGCCTTCTTTCAGGTTTGGGTCAATATTACGAGGTGATCTGACCACACGTTCTGTAATATCCTGCCGGTCGCTCTCCCGAGGTGATAATAATGCCAAACCTGGATAGGCCTCTATCGTCAGCACTGCGCTCACGCGAGGGCTCCCTGAGTGGTCGGCTATTGTGTCACTCGATTCGTACAGGGGGTGCCGCTCGTTTTCAACAGGTACAATGCCTCTAACGTTCCAACTGTCTCTGTCATACGGGGTCACATTTTCATTGGCATATTTCACATTAGCCATCAGGTTCTCTAGCCGACTGTTCCGACCGCGTGGGGTCACGTGACTGTAACCATTTAGCGTCAAATTCCCAACATTCCCTGACGCCGTGGGTAACAGGGGTTTCTTTTTCATTCCATGTCTAATCCTCTCGAGCTCTCTCTCCACCAATCGTTGTTCGTGTTGATAATTCTTCATCCAGTATTTGTGTTCGTCTTTAATGCCACGCCTGCTATCAATCTCTAGGTTCAGTAGTCTCTCTTCTCGTTTGTTCTGAGCTCGGGCTATTTCCGAGTTCCTGTATTGGAATGTCCAGCTTTTCATTTTGACCGTCCGATTTTGTACCCGAAATACTCAGACTGACTTGTTTAACCATCAACTTGTATCCTTTAATTGGCTGCACTTATTATATGTTCATTATTAATTAAAGTTTTCCTGAAAAAGAGAAGAAGAAAGAAATTAATAAAATTTATTCTATTTTATCCCTTATTTTAAACTGAAAGTAATATGTCCCGAAACATGTTCCTGAAAAAAAAGAAAGAAAGAAATTAATAAAATGTATTCTATTTTATCCCATATTTTAAACTGAAAGTAATATGTCCCGAAACATGTTCCTGAAAAAAAAAGATAAAAGAAATTAATAAAATGTATTCAATTTTATCCCTTATTTTAAACTGAAAGTAATATGTCCCGAAACATTCATATCTAAATCTGGATTTATGAGTCTTGCGCTGTGTGAAATATACATTCCTGTCTCGGCTGATAGCGTGCAGGTGTTTCTTAGCAAAATAAACACAAACGTAAACAACAGATTACTTCAAGGGGTAAACCCGTATGGAAAAGGTATGTTGGTGTTTCTGTTAATATTTACACAGCCATTAGTGTGTGGAGCGGGACGTACACAGAGGTAGGCTCTACTTCAGAGTAATGCAGTTTAAATGGAATTCCTAGTTCCGTGACTACACCGTGCATGATGGTTATGTCATACTTTCTACTACTACTTATCACTGGTTTATTGGGCTGCTTTTTCAACGTCATGGACCAGGCTAGCTATTCTTGAAACGTTCGTAGCCCTACGAACTTCTTAAGCCCATTCTTAACACATTGGCTACGATCAAAGTTAAGAATACGTAATGCTGTCCAGATCATACAGCAATGTGATTTACATAATGAACCGATCCCCGACCGCCTCCGTGGTGTAGTGGTTAGAGCGTCCGCCCGGAGAGCGGAAGGTCGCGGGTTCGATCCCCGACCGCGTCATACCAAAAGACGTTAAAATATGGTACTTGTTGGTCCCTGCCTGGCGCTCGGCATTAATGGGTACAACAAGGACTGGTCGGCTCGCAGTCAGTATAATGTGTCTGAGTGGGGTATTCATGCTTCACTGCGGCATGGTATCTCAGTGAGCTAGCACTATAAAACCGGCTTAAGTCTGGGCTAGTACAAGCAGCCGCACATACACATACACACGCATGCACGTCGTCATATGAGCGAAATATTCTCAAGCACGACGTTAAACCCAATTTCACCTCACCTCACATAATGAACATCGATCAATGTAATTTAAATGCGACAATATGCGATCAGGCTAGTCACGTTTGACGACCTGATTCACTAGTTCTGCTCCTCTGACTAGGGTAGGTATCAGTGGAGCTATATTCTTACCCAGATTGCCCACATGTCTCGGGATGACTAGAGGAAGAGAATGTGATCGTTACCCATGCAGGTAAACATGACCTTGGATAGAGTTTGTTCGGGTCAGACTTAGTGTGGAGGTCACAAAGAGAATGCATTCATACAAAGAAATGTGGATGCAGAAAGATTCATTACCTAAGTCATAAATTGTCACCAACTGTCACACTGTGACAATGTATACGTATAGATCGGTCATATAGCATTTGTACGTAAATAGCCTCACATTGTGAGTACCTGGATTTCTGTGCCTGTAACGTCTTTAGTTTCTGAGAGAGAGTGAGTGGGACACTGGGTTTGTGTGTGAGTTGGTGAGTGAGTGAGAGGTTGGATGAGTGAGTGAGCGAGTGAGTTGGTGGGTGTGTTGGAGAGTGAGTGAGTGGATAACAGCAGTCTAGACATATAATTATGGGCAATGAGCGTCCACTGTACTCATGTTAAGAATCGCGCGTGACTCTCGACGGTTTTCCACCCGGTGCTTGAAATACACGCATTGAGACAACGTTACTCCAGTCCAAACCTTGCTCGTTAACTGACACAATCTGATATACGTTCACACCCAGCTCTCATGGCGTGAAAATCCAGAGCTTGTTCCATACAATAAATCTACACCCAAGTATCAATGACACAAGAGCCCCTTTAAGGGCACAGAATAACGGACAAAAATATCCAGTTTTATCGCTAAACTGGAAGGGTTTGCTTCAGCAGAACTCCGCCTTGGTCATATCAAAGCAACAGCATCAATAGCCTGCCACTGTGTCCATACCGCTTCATGGTTCGGGATATATTCATTCCAAATCAGCCATATATTCTTCCAAGTATAGAATAAGCAATGTTTACAGAACCAACCAACCATCCCATACCCCGCTTCTGTCTAATCATGAAAGAGACAGGTTTCTATGTCGCTTGTTTCGACACCGCTATACAAGGTATAAATATGTATATAGATATACACAGAGATATGGTTCCCCGTAACGATTTAGATATTGTGGTGGCTAGTTCTACAACGTATAGTTCATAGAACCCGGGACCTCACTTGGAACACGGTCTGGCCTATGCATAAAAATATACCAATGGGTTTGATTACATATACACAACACATAATAATATTGATCTCAACACAAGCGGCTGTGTGGCAATATTTTCTGCATATTTATTTACTCTTAACATTGGCTTCGTGTGCGGGAACATTGTAAGACGGACTGTGAGGTAACAACACCCACTTTCAATTTCGGGGGAATTTGTAAGTGTAATTTAATCAAAATTAAAATCACATCTGATGGTTCATTTGGTACCTGTGACACATACCATCTTAAAGAATATCATTATGGTACAGGGTCAAAAGTCAACTTGTCTACAGACAACTGAAAACAAATTCTGCAATTTTTATGTTTCTTTATTTAAATCTTGTCGACATAAATTTATATACCTGTAAATAACTACGTGTGTTCAATTTGAATTTAAGTTAAAGTACAGTATTGTGTCTACATCGTGAAAACAAAATATCACATTTGTATTCAGTACTCGATAGCGGGTTACTGTGTACGTGTTTTATGTGAAGCGGCATCGCTGTAGGTCGTGCACACAAGACCAGGCTGCTATATCCTTGACGCTAGTCGGTTCCTACTCGGCACATGTCGTCCAATAACAATGAGGCGGTGAGCCGTTTTATGTGATCTTAATGAGATCGATAAACACTATATCTGCCTGTGGTTATTTACGTGGCCCTGAATTGGAAATAAATCAACATCTTCTCAGCTGTACGAGATCTCCACGAGAATACCTTGAGACTCGCATTAGGATTATTTGAAATGTCACAAGTGTCTCACCATTGTTGTTTTATTTAACGATGAAAGTTTACATCCCTTTTAAACCTTGGCGTTGTCATCTTTTGAAACTCGTGTTTTTATATTTAATATGAAAAGTCTCTACATCGGGAACATTTCTAACATATTGTTGTTGTGACTTCAGCATCACTGTCTATATATCTGTAGCATCCTGTTTGCGCGTATCGTCATCTATCGATATTCATTTTGCTTATCAAATTTGTGATAAGATGTCAATTGTGTTTCAACTGATCACTGAACAATGCTGAGGAATTTTACGTGCGCTTCAAAGTAATCATCATCAAGTAGCCTCCCTTTGCTCGTTGGTTTAAAAACGCGAGACCGTGAAACACGTGTTCACTCCACGTTGCCGCTCGAAAAGATCCAATAACAGGACAGACACACAATCGTCTGCATATTTAAACAAACATATTTTGATGAATACATTCATGATAAGATATCACCAGGATCCTTGCTCCCCAAATGTACATATGAAAGCAGTGTAACAAACTGTGTCGACACAGTGCAGGTCGCTGATCATGACGAAGGCTCAGGGTGCCTGACAGCACCGCGAGGGACGTGTGTCCGTGTTGGATCTGTCAGCACTAGAGATCCTGGACCACAGGTTTCGCGATAGTCTGTAGATACACCTATATACATGTACATTCAGACGAAATGAAGCTAAAGCTAAAAAGTAGTGTGACATCTGTACCCCGGACGGAGACGTTTCGTAATATCGTCCGTATTGAAGGGGTACTTTCTCTCTTTGTATGTGTTTCGTCATCTGATCAAATACACTCGCGGAACAACATATCTGGTGATGATCTACACACTGCTCGAAGTTGAGGCAGAAAGGTTTTGCAACGATTGTGAGTATGACGAAAACGTGTACTCACCAATTCCAGTATGGGGCCAAACTACATTTTCGGAGTATTTCGGGCGGTGGGGTAGACTACTGGTCAAAGCGTTCATCGTCACGGCGAAGACCCAGGTTCGATTCCACACATGGATACAATGTCTGAAACCCATTTCTGATGTCCCCCGCCGTGATATTGCTGGAATATTGCTAAAAGCGGCGTAAAACTAAACTCACTCACTCAGTGGTGTCTTTGCCATGACCCCAGTCAGATACGGCAAACACCGTCCTGTCAGCGGGGTACCGGCATCTCACAAACTAGGACTATCGTCTAAAACACAAGACAGTGAATGGGACATATTATGCAGTTTGTTTGAGACACTTATAGGATGAGATTAAGACTGAGGTGATTGGGAGGTTCGCAAGATGTCTGCTCTTCAAACAGGACACTGAGCACATCCGCAAATCTGCTAGCTCTGACCCGTGAAGATCCTTGGTCTTCCCTCCCATGTTTGTCTACCCGTGAAGATCTGTTGATCTTCCGCACCCATGTTTGTCTACCCGTGAAGATCCTGGATTAGAATTGGTCTTCCGCAACCCATGTTTGTCTACCCGTGAAGATCCTGGATTAGAATTGGTCTTCCGCAACCCATGTTTGTCTACCCGTGAAGATCCTGGATTAGAATTGGTCTTCCGCAACCCATGTTTGTCTACCCGTGAAGATCCGGGATTAGAATTGGTCTTCCTCAACCTATGTTTGTCTACCCGTGAAGATCCGGGATTAGAATTGGTCTTCCTCAACCATGTTTGTCTACCCGTGAAGATCCTGGATTAGAATTGGTCTTCCTCAACCCATGTTTGTCTACCCGTGAAGATCCTGGATTAGAATTGGTCTTCCTCAACCCATGTTTGTCTACCCGTGAAGATCCTAGATTAGAATTGGTCTTCCTCAACCCATGTTTGTCTACCCGTGAAGATCCGGGATTAGAATTGGTCTTCCTAAACCCATGTTTGTCTACCCGTGAAGATCCTAGATTAGAATTGGTCTTCCTCAACCCATG